CCCCGCCGTACCGACCGCCGGAACCGCGCTGGACGGTGTACTATTCACAAGGCCCGCTACCCCCACCAAGCCCTCCACCCCCGCCCCCCGACCTGCCTCGGAGCCTGCCCGCAGTCAATCCGCGTCCTCGCGTTATAACTGATATCCTCCAGTGCAACCCCCTTCCGCTACTTTTTGCTCCTTTTCTGCTGCTCCACCAGCGCGTCGTACCTCTCCGCAAACCTGAGGTCTGCTCGTCCACCCACGGTCCTAGAATGATCGTCAGATATCAGCCGCATCATGGGGTTGTCTCCTGACCTTTTCGGCCTTCCGCCGATTTCTCGCACCTCTCCACTTGCGACCTTGAGGCTAGCGGTATCACGTCCGGCTCTTGCTGGAGGTATGGCGGAAGATGCCGTCGACATTGCGGCCTCCGCCAAAGCTCGAAGTTGCTGCTTTCTCACGTCAAATACGAGCGCCATATCCGCAGCCAACGTCTCCCAGTCGTGTTTCGTCGTGCCGTCCTGTATGTCCTTTAGCTTGTCTGCCCAAATCATCAGCCCTAGTATGAGCACGCGTGCCCCTCTTTTCCCGCCGAGAAGCGCTGCTCCCCAGTCCATCTTCGCACTGGGCACAGCACTAACGAACCCTCCTTTCATGCGCGCTGCTGGCTGTAAGAGACGCCATTGCTCACACAAGGCAGCCCCGATATTCCAATCAGCGAGCTTCGCATCATGCGCCGAACTACTCCGCCTTCCTAAATCCGGCCAAGCGGCCGTGTAATGCGGGCCTTGTAGTTTACTCAGATAGACCGGTCTGACGTCGGCTCGCTCGCCTTGCAATTCGAACGCTGACCAGCCATGACAAGACGCAGACGCCGGGGCCTGAAACCTGGAGATTAGTCAAAGGGCTACCGGGGATCCTTCCAGACGTACTCACAGGCTTCGCTAGCTCAAATTCCAGGTATTTTTCGAGGACATTTTGAAGGACAGCACGAGACACTGACCATCCCATGGATTCGTAGCGTTCGGGGATTCCCAGCACGTACTTCGACCACGTCGCAGACCGACCTTTCGACCCAAAATGGGAAGTCTCCTCAGACTGGTCGCGGACTAGGTTATTCACCAAATGGCTTAGCACAACTGGTAGGTCAAGTCTCTTTAGAAAACAAGTCAGCGTTGATCTCTTCGTGAATCCCGTACCGACCTGATTGGTAGCAGAGGCCGATTGGCTGCAGGGTTCATAATCCTCGTCGAAGACTTTGATGTGCATGATCTATTCTCCGTCAGTCAGAGACATCACATCATTCGCAGCGTGAACGCACATCACCAACGCCGTCTCCACTATCTAGACCGCTGTCACCATGGCGGTCGGACCTCGACAGAACATCTTCATTGCCTCTTGTGGTGTGCAACTGGTCTGAACGCAACGACGAAAGGTGGGGCGGCAAGGAAGGCGGGGCGGGCAGATTGTCTCTCGCAACTTCTCCTGCGCACTTGGTCCTGATGGAATGGTCAGAGTTGATGGCAGCACCGGCGTCGTCAAAACAGGAGGCATCAGGTATTGTTCCCTTTGTAGACTTCTGTTTTCGGGCCGTCGGACGGGGCTTGGGCCTGGGCTTCTTCTGGGGCAACAACTCCTCTGCACGAGAACCTCGGTGATTCAACTCGCCGTCACCCCATACATCCATGGCCGGCGCCTCATGCTGATAAGTATCCTCCAACTGCTCAACTTCTGCAGCATTCGCTTGATCGTCATCCAAGTCACTCTCCTTCTGGCCCGCGTTCGTCTCTAGGGGAACAACGCCCCCGACAGGCAGCTCTGGCAACGGAGAGATGTCTAACGCTGGTTGACGAGAGACGATAGTCTCCTTCGACGACTGGTCAACATCGGCCCTATTGGCCTCACGTCGCGTTGAAGCTTGGGCGACTGCTGTCGCAGTGTCATCAGACATTATCGGCGAAACGGTAGGAGCTTCTGGGCTATGCGTCGCTCCAGCGCCCTCGCGCGTATCTCGCTCATTTTGCGCGCGCTCATCACTGTAGTCCGAGAGGCGCACACCCCACTTTGTCTCTGAGGTATGAGACATCATGAGTAATCGTTATGCCTATCCACAGTGCCCAGAGAACGTACCGGTGACCAGACAGGCTTGGGCATGTATGCGTTCGGACACCGCATGCAATACTACCTCTTCATCACGAATTTCGCTATACTTGACCTTGGGCTTGCCCGATATGTCGCATACACCCTCAGATCTAGTAGGATGTGAACCGCATTTTCCCGTAGCTGAAGTGCCGACTTACACCATGACTTTTCCCGCGCCAGCCAGAATCATGACTGCCATACCCCCGCAATGCTCAGCAAAGAATTCCATGAGGTCCTCCAAGAAGTCTTTCGACGCCGACATGAACCTGTGAGAGCACAATTCAATTGGCGGTCAACGTGGATCAAGGAAGCGGTAGCTCACTTTACGGCGTCTTCTAGACTCTTAGGCCCCGCGAGATCTTCCTTCCACTTCTTCGTTTCCTCGGCCAATACGTCCTTCGCCTTCTCCATCGTCTCCTCCTTCTCTTTCTCGCTGGCAGATCTATACCAATCGGCTGCCACTGTGTTCCACAATCCAATCCGCTTGTACTCGGGATCTCCCTTTTGCTCTCTCACTGTAGCCAACATACGATCGATCTCCGCATCGAGGTCCGGACGCGGCTTCGAGCTGGCCCACACTTTGTAGAGCTGCTTCATCGACGGTCTTTCCCAGTACTTCAGAAGCAGCTTCGTGATGTCGGCGCCTTGTTTCTTCCCGGTAGTAGCCCGTCTCTTAGAGTCGGGGAAGTTTGTCTGGAATCGAGCGAGCATTATCTACAAGCCGTCAGACGTAGTGCACTCAGATCAGCCCCATCGATAATATACTCACCGTACGAACATGTTGGACTAGTTTATCTCGTCTCTTGTGCTCTTCGCTCGCAACCCCTCGACCCACGGCTCGTCTGGCCTCCTTCGCCGACGCATCGTAGGCACTTATTGTCGCCTGATCCGGCTCTGCGCCGCCTGGTGGCACATCGCGTTCCGGGTTCTCCCACCCAAATTTCGCAAAGAACCGCACAACCTCTTTATTCATGAAGTTCGTCATGTCCTGTTGGGTATGCTTTTTCCGGCGCAATGTGTTATAGGCATGTTGCTGACCATCAACATCCACCCGCTGAACCGGGCCGAAGGTGTGCGGTCTCCCGACAGGGTTGGCTATATCAGCTATGTCGGGTTGGAGAGACAGTGACTGGAGAGACTTCGATATGGAGTCGGCAGTCTCAGCTATTCCAGGCTGATGAGACATTGAGAGAAGATGGACCGATGAATTGAGAGGAGAACTGTGAGATGGGTCGGGGGAGGGATGGGACTGGAACGTAAGTAGTCAAGAGGAGAGCATTTCTTTTCTCCATGGGTCCCACTCGAGCTCCGACACGCTCTCATCTCATCTCTTACAACTGTGCGCGCTTGGTCCGTCGGAATCTGCTAACTCGTGATGCTGTCACTCGGCTACAAGGACATTCGTGATGATACCATGGAGTTTCTTCCTGCTTTCGCCGAAGTATTTGTGCAAATTGCTCTGCTCATACAGCACAAGCCCGCCTCCTATTTGCAACATGCTGCTGAGATTCTCGCGCTTGAACGGATAGTAATGGGTCTCAATGCCCGAACCGCTCTGGGGCGGCCGCTGCAACTGTCGAGGGTGAGCCCCATCCCGTTCGTCATCCACAGCTTTACAGTGCCCCATGCACCGGTGTTGTTCCAGGCGCAGCAGGCGATATCGTCGAGCTGGCTACTTTGACGGAAACCGTGCTTTGACTGCGGCTGATTGACGAATGCCCGAGAACGACACAAGTTGGATATGGGACTCGGAGATGCTGCGTACATGGGTCTCAGTTCATAGTCACTCTAGCGCATTGTGAGAAGATACAAGCCATTTCTGTTGTCATAGCAGGACGGTTTGGCAAGTGTCTGACGCGCCGTTCTCGGCTTCGAGACGCGTTTCGACGTTCGCCGTGATCCGCCTACGCGTACCTCAGCGGTTCCGCGGGCCCTTATGTCTTATATCTCCTTTGGAGGTGGAGTGTGGGGGTATAGGGCAGGGAGAAAGTCGTCGCTTGTCTTCTTCCGCAGTAGCCCGCCGCGATCCGCGTACGCATAGGCAGGATGTCTTCGGGCACTTGGCAGGCGTCGGGGATCACCCGCCGTCAGGTCGAGCTATGCGCTCCCCTGCGCGTCTATGCTCGTATCGTTGGTGGAAGTTGACCGTCCTAAGTCCCTCCGGCAGACGCAAACCGGTCACAGTCGCACTCAACCGACGCAAGTACTGAGAACGGAAGAGCGGCGCTCCAGGTTCTCGGAGCGAGTCGAGCGAGGCCCCACTCGCACTAGCACTACAGGAATGTGGGGACATAGATTCAGACGGTACGGTGCATGTGTGGCAAGTTAAAATTGTGGTGAAGGAACCAGTCTGAGTTGCGATGGCGCGGATCCGACATGCGGCCAATTCGAGGCGAATCTGTATTTGATTCTGACCATTCGGCGTGGGTCGGGCCGGCGAGGTTTTTCCTTTACACTGTGCACGTACAAGTACTCCCAGCTTCTGTCACATCTGACTGTGCGCCGAAGGATCGAAGAGCATTATTAGGTCCACTTACAA